AAAGTCAGCATCCATGGTTAAGGCTGGGTAGATCCTAACACTGAAATGTCTCCTTACCTCTTGTCACAACAATGCACACTTCTGCATTCATATATACCTCAAGTTCTCATACTAAATGCTGGATTCACCTTTGAACACATCATACCATAGGAAGCAGAAGTTCTTTCCTGCAAACACAAAGCTAGTGGGTTTGCTCTGTAACAACAGTCTGCAATGGAGGAAGTTTATCTCATCCTAGTTTGAGCTTTGGCTGTGCTGTTATCACATGCAGCGCACATGTGTACATACAAATGTGCTGTTTTCATCAGACAAGGGATTCATCTTGAATTACCAGATCTAGCAGCATAAAAACATGCCTTCACAATACTTTTCATGACCCAAACACCGATTTTGTTTCTTTATCCTAAAATCAGCGAAACAAGCAAGGACCAGCATACTGCCCATCTTGGAGACAGTGTTCCACATTTTCTTTCTCCATAGGGCTCATATCCTATGTCTGTTTTATCTATGTACGTTAGGTACTCCATTTAGATGACATTTCTCAGGTATGTGAATAACTTGGATATCATCACCTCATCCTCTCTTAGGAAGAGCTGCTACCCCTACTTGCTGTGGGAAAAAAAGCATGAAAGAGCTCATGGACTTGTAAGCAGTGGCACAAGACACCTCAGACTTGCTTTGCAATTAGCAGAGAGCTAATCAATACCTACCTTTGATTATCAAAATTATCTCCTGGAATTTTTTTCTCTTCATTGACTGTAAGAGGAGATCTCTGTGACAACTTCAGCTGCACTACAGGCATATAAATCTAACAGTATATCCCACCCAGGAAGAAGTCTCCTGTTGGCAAAGAATTGCTCAGTCAGAGCGAGCCAGGAGAGACAATCCTTCCTGTTTAACTGTTTCCCTGAAACCACCCGCACTGCAAAACACATGGAGGAAGAAGGGAACAGAAATTATGCAATCACATCAGGGTTTCTTTTATCATTTTCATTACCTATCAGATTTAATATTTGCAAAGCTGCCCTTGGACTGAAACAAACTGCTTGCTTTGATATCTAGATGCAAATATTGCTGTTAAGTGTGCTGTAAATGGATTTTATTGCTCACTCCAAAGCCACCATATATTAGCACAGTAAAGCTGAAAGTCCCAGCTGGGAGACTTTCTGTGGGAGAAAGAAGAGCAGAGCAGGATCATCCAATCTGCTGCCACAGATCAACAGCAGGGCGTAGGGCTTCTGCATGCAGAGGGAAGCCTGCTGCACACAGAATAGCACTTGGGCTGCATCCTGAAGGAAGTTTAGCAACCAGCCAGAACAGTGCAAACCGTCTTGTGCCCTCCAGGGTTTGACATGGAAATTGAATAACAAATTGCCCCAAAAGGAAACAAAATAGATGGGGAAGCTCAGGTGCAAACAAAGAAAGCTGCTTACAACCAGGAAACTGCACAGCAGCATTTCTCAAGCCTTGCATATCTATGTCTGCTTCTGTAAGCCTGGTGGCAATGTTCCAGATGCACCCAGATATCTGGAGATGTATGCGGGACTGGAGAAAATGCAATGGACAGATTCTCTGGATCCACCAATCTCTTTTAAAACAGAATGTAAAAACAGTCCATGGTATGCATGATATTTAGCACAGTAAATCATATTTGTGAGTGTCTAAATAAGCTCCCTTGTACCTTTGTGACCTGCTGCTGCTTGAGCACCAAAAAAGGGCAGGAAGCGATCGATGGCACCGGCACACACAGATCAGTGTCAGCTGCCCTGATCTGCACGGCTCAAGAAGAGATTGCAAACCTGTGCGTCAGGAAGGACCTACAGCTCTCAGAACCAGGGAAAGGAAATGCATTCATTGAAAGAAGGAAAAAAACGAAGTTTCACTTAAAGTAATAACAAGCGAGCTGCTCTTGACCGTGAACAACGTCATCTTAAGCCTCAACTTCCCCTGAGCAGCCAACGAATGTATGCCAGGAGTTCAGAAAACGGAAGTATCTGAAACCTTGCGAGCGATACGGCCTCGTGCACCGAGCGCAGCGCTGACGCAGCGGGACGCCAGCTGGGCCGGCAGCGCAGGCAGCGCCTCGGCGCACAGCGCCCCCTGGCGGCCGGGAGCCGGGCCGGCCTCCGTTCGGTCGCTGTGCGGCGCGGCGCCCCGTTCAGCTCCGGTTAGATTAGCCGGGTAAACGATCCTTCAGCAGCTCAGCCGCTCACACGGAGTGCTCACGGAAAAGGGTTTAGCGTGATTTAAGAATCGCAGAGATTTTAGCACACAAACAAAAGCTATGCCTATCAAACTCACGCTCACTACCACACTCTGGCTCCTTTGCTCCTGCAGCTCCAATAAACAATCTTTAGCTGACAAACTAAAAAGCAGCTTGCAAAGAAAACTTGCAACTCCCACACACCCCCGCAGTGCATTGTGCTGATGGCAGCGTGATCAGTCCTGTTAACATGTGCCCCCAACACGGTGACACAAGGATCCACAAGGAAGAAATCAGACACCCAAACCACAACCTTCTGTTCTTCGCCATAGAAAACAAGCCAGGAACCCTGCAGCCCTCCCACCCGGAGCTGGGACAGTGCTGAGTGTGTGCATGGCAGCCCACAACTAGCACAGCAATTACTGCTCACACAGCAGCTCTCACTGATGCTAACTGTACCCATCCACGAACCAGTAATAACATTTTGAGTTGGTGGTGAGAACCTCCAGACATGTTTTTGCTAGTAAAAGTTAAACAGGAACATAATTCATTTCATCTGCTTTGCTCCTTTCCTTGATTTCAGATGCTGAACTTAAGGAAGAAAGCAGGTTCCCTGCCAGCACCCCAGATATAACCTCAACCACCTCCATCTCCACAGCTTTCATGTGGACACAATGACTTCAGTCACTATGTTACCACTCTGTGCCAAACAGGTGTCATGTTTAACAGGTTAAAAGTACTGCAAGTTTCAACCGCTTACACAAAGGAACACTGAATATAAATAAGTACACTATTTGTATAAATACTTCCTCAAAAAGCTCAAGTTAGATAGCAGATCTGGTGCAATATTCCAGAAATGCAGCACATTTTCCTGTACATGCTGCATTAAAATGGTAAACACGTGTGACTGATTCAGATTAATTGAAACACTTCTGGGAAGGGTCAGAATCAGATTTTACACTGTTATCTCTGGTTAAATATACTTGTCACAATGAAACCATTAAGTTTGATCCTGTATTAAAGTGACTGTATTAACAGCACTGACAGTTAGATACCTCTCTCTTGATGTTTCCATTATGCACCATTCTCTTCCTCTTATCTAATGTACTTTTAGGACCTCAAGAACTTCTGCTGAGGGACAGATATGGAGGAAATGAGTGCTGATTTTGCTCTATTGAATGGCTTTGCCTCTTCAGCTCTACAGGGCTAGAAATTCTTGTTAGTCACATTCACACCAATATTCAAAGAAGTGAAATCACCAACAGCGATGAGTAAAGTCTTATAATAGTATGAACTGATCTGCTTTACAGCTTTTACCACAGATGCATTTTGATAGGCTGGTAAGTTTGCAACTTGGAAAAAAGCAGAAGCAATACATCAGGCCATAGCTGACCACATGGAGCATCTAAAGGTGCATTTGTGCAGCTGCAGCTATGTATGCACACAGATACGTGTCACAGTATGCTGGATTTTAACAAGTCTCCCACTTCCACAGGAACTTCAGTCACAGCATACAAACCAGCTAGGTTAATACTAACTTGTGCATTTTTGTATGGTATTGCTGTGTGTGTGGAGTTACTCATGGACAGAAAGGTAATCAATTTTAATTTGAAATTAAGTATAGAGTATTGCTACACTATATTACTAGAAAACAACAAAAAAGCAGTATTTGTCAGGGCAGGGAAGAACTGAAATTCCTATTTATGTTAGTTCCAGCTTGATATTCCTGACACATGCCCAAAAACATCCAATCTCTATCATAAGGACTTCAGTGGGGTGTACAGTGAGCAACACCCATATACAGGACTTGTAGCAAATTCTGGATGTACACAAAACATCTCTGAAAACTGTGGGAAGGAGAGGTATTTTCTAATACAATGAAAACAACTATTCAGGGGCAAAGCACAGCAGTATGTACTGACTGTATGGAAAATCTGCATTCATGAGCATGAATCAGCCCAAAAGCTCACTGAGTCAGATGACTTATGTGTTTTTCATAGTTGCAGCCCTGACAATAATTACGTATCCCTTTTCCTGCCTGCCTAAAGAAAATTCCCATTTCAGCTTGTTAATAAGCACAGATTTACGTGTGAGAATGAAGCCAAACATGACTAGCTTATTCTGCATATCACAAGAGTCGATACACTAATAAAATGAAATCTACAAGTACAAAATGTATAGAATTTATCTTGCACAGCGCTAAATATCTTTCTTCCAAACTGTTTTTTATGAACTCCAGAAACTACCACAGATCACCAATTTTGCTGCTTTCTTCAGCTTTTGGCCTTCTTTCCCACAACCGCAATTCTCTTCCTTTGAAAAATGCACACAAGACACAAAAGTTGTGCTCAACAGGTTTACTCAGACTGGACTCTTAAATGCTCAAGAAAAAGGCACAGATTAAAAGAGACTGTGATGACTCTTTTGAACACAGCAAATGGGATTTTGTTTATAAGAAAAAAAAAAAAAAAACTGCAGTGAATTATATGGGCTGAAAAATTCAAATATTCTTCCCTGTTCCTAATCATTGGCCTTCATTAAAATGGAATTTAAATTAAATTGTATAAACATATGAAATAAAGTCTCAGTATTAGGAAGTTTTTTCTTTTGTTTCACCTATGTACAAACCTTAGTATACAATTTTTACTTTTCATTATACATTTACTACATACTCTTTCCAAGCAGAGTAAGAGCAACTGCAAAGTGTGTGTTTCAAAAAACCGCTTTGCATTCAGAACGAATCCACCTGCTCCCATGGCGGGCAGAGCCAAGCAGAACCTTGAGATAGAAATAGAGGAGATGACAGGGGATCCGCTCAGATGTAATCATCCTCGACCGGCTCGCCGTTGACGTCGCAGTAGTGGATGAAGATAGCCACCACACGCTGGAATACGCCCTTCTTCATCTGGCGCAGTTCAGAGATCTCCTCTCCTATGGTTTCCATACAGATGTCTGCAGACAGCTGTCCTTTCCTCCGGGGTGCGTAAATAGTAGCTGGGGAAAGCGTAAGAGTGAAAACCGTAATCCTTCCTGTTATGGAATTCATAGATTCATTTTGCCTTCCCCTCCCCTCATTTAAACTGTTCAATAGCTCTAATCCTCATTTAGTATACACTAAGTCTCTGTGCCTGTAGGTGAAGGGAACCTGAAAGCACAACAAAGCCTTCCTCCTGAGACTTACCTGACATGCTTTCCGGATCCCTGTTTCATCAATCACTTAAATGTTGTATAAACAAGAGTAATTAAGGATGAAGCAACTGCCTTTTTTATGGCTTTAACACCCTATTTATGCTAACTACACCTTTTAAATGAATACATATCATTTTTTGACATTTCAGACTGCGTACTGAACTGCAATCATAGAGTTTATGAATCAGTTTTAAAAAATATTACAGAAATGTATAGCCATGACTCATCCTCTTGAGGCTCATCCTCTTTGAAACAGAGCTAGATACTTACATCTGAAACCACGGCAGTTAAGAATACTTCTAAAGAAGGAAATTCCAAGATTTTCCTAGTTAAGTAGTAAAAGAACGTATTTATCCCTGCTACTGAACAAGCTTCTTATTTGAAGCCCTAGGAAGTGTCTCCTGTAATATTTCACAAGACAAGCTCCTAAACAGAAAGAGCCTTACTTCATCCTAAACTCTAACCTACATCTTCTCTGTTCCAGCGTTTTCAAGTCAAGTTCTTTCCTTATTTCTCCCAATGCTTTGTGAATCTCACTCCTCTCTCTGTTGGACTTTCTTTAGCCTACCTTTACAATTCAAAACACCAAGCCAGAAGCATGACTGAAGCTGAGCTCTGACTACTAACACCAGGAAATTCCTGAGAACTTGAATTGCTAGATCTACACATCACAACATTAGTTTTGTGTACATTTAAGTGCATTCACTCCAGCTAAAATATTACCCTTCTTTGTTTTGCTGCTTGTTCAAACTCTGAACCACTGTACAGAACTTATTCTGCTGAGACTGCCCACATTATTGATGCTGCCCACTGAACATTGAGTTAATTCTTCTGGGTATGACACACTCATCATGTTTTCAGGCTAAACATTACACTGCTTTTCTGATTTGTCATAACTAGGAGTCTCCAAGCTGCTCAATCCACTCTTGCACTACTATACTGTCAGTCCCCCTTCTTGTCCAGCTCTCAACACTTTTACAAGTGGTTATTTATAGCCTACAAAAGTAGGATAAGAATTAGAGAACAAAAATAAACAACAACAACAAAAAAGGAACACACTGTCAGATTTGGACCAAGCAACAAATTAGAATTCTTTGAAGCTTTCAACAAAAGACTGCTCACTTCTCTCATCGTCCTCAAAGTCATATCTGGCGTAGCTGTTTGGCTCTGCTGTCCTCAGTGACCTCAACCATGGGAAGTCAGTAATCATGGAGTAAGGGGCACCATCCACAATGCCTACAAGACAGACAGGATGAAGATACAAGGGAGACAGCAGCACGCCTGTAGCATCAGCACTCTCAATGCAGAAACATCTTCTCAACATAAACTTCTCCACTCTGTGCTAAAGGCCTTCCACTTCCTTCACAACAATGATTATTAATGTCTCTTACAATGTGATGCAATCAAAGTTACTTATCTGAGCAAGAGAAAGAGCATCAACTTTCAGGTCTCTACAGACACACACCTTCTAGAGTGTAAATATCTCGTCCCCAAGGGTACTTAGTGTATTTCTTCAGGTCTTCTTCAGTTCGTGTTGCTTCAGGGAAGAACTCGTATTTAATAAGCTCTCTAGAGAGATGGATGAAAAGATTACAGCCAGTATTGCTTGGAAATGTGAAGGGAGGAGGAAGAAGAACCAAATGGGAAATCTTACTGCATAACCTTTACTTTAATGAGCCTGAATCCATAGAAATGCTCCTCTAAGACCTTCACATAAAAACAGTATGAAGTCCCTTCACTTTTGAGTAACTATGGAGAATACGTCTTGTTTAGATCACTGAGTTAAGGTAACTTTGACACATAGCTTCTATCTCCAAAAAACAACCCATCATAATTGCATCTAAACAGGCATTCAAAAATACATTTGTTCTTTTAACCATTTTAGTGACAAACCTGGACAACAGAAACACAGACTTAAAGTATGTGGACAAAAGCCATTATATACAATTGCCTGCTGCTGCTGGGAATTTCTGCTCCTCAGTAACAAAGTGAAATTGACTGTACATCATCTTCTCCAGAAATGTTATTTCTTGAAGGAAATCAGTCTTCTCTCTTTTTTAAAAGACAAAATTTGGTTTCCCATTTGAAAATATCTCTCAACCACCCTGACTCCTTCAGTGTTAAATTGCGTTACTACTGCATGGAATGGAACTAGAGAATTCTACAGTATTTTTCATATGACCAGTTTTATTTAATCTAAGTTTTTTGTTAGCTCTATCTTAACACTGATATTATATCAATACACCATACAGAATTGAAACTTCACCAGCCAGCAAACTAAGGTGGTTTTTTTTTTTTTGTTGGTTTTTTTTTTACGTTGCAACTGAATACTACAAGCCTACAGCTAACTGCAGCTTTGAATCAGGACTGACTGTATTTTCCACAAAGCCACTGCAGGACAGGTACTCACTGGTTAATATTTGCTATCGTGTCCATCCAGCTCCGAATGCGCACCTTGTTGCGGACGTTGGGCGGGTTACTGAACTCATGAATTATGCAAATATGGTAGGGATAGGGGCCACTAAATATCTTCTGTTCAAGAGTCAGTGTGTCCACCTGTGAAAGCAGGCAAATAAAGACTTGTAACAAAGAGATACAAAGGAATGCGATTTTAGAGTCAAGAGCAGACATCTATAAAATCTCCCAAACTCTGGGGGACAAATTTCAACATCATACATAATGCAATACATGAGTTAAACTTTCCTAGCACAGCTTTGCCAGTGACAAATTCTTAAGGAATGTGGTGGGATATGGTATTTTCTGATGAGTTTTTCCAACTCCAGTGTATATATATCCCTCATAAAACTATGTAACAGTCTGAACTACATTCACTTGCTCAGAATTGTCTTTGGTCCAGTTGTTTTCAATAGTATTACTACTCTCCTTTAAGATCTAAGACTCAAAGAAAGCTGGCTTTGATACCAAATCAACCTTCCCTTGTTGGTCAGGAAATCTGACCCACACATTTGCATTACGTTGCATGAAATCAGGAGCACCACTGTATAACACGGAACATCCTGGCATGAGTACAAGTCAAAAATTAGTCTGGATTCTAGATCAAGCTCTATTATTTGCTTGTTGAAATTATATCAACAAATCACTAATGCCAGTGCTTTGTTCTCCTATGAGTAATCTGAGGGAGAAAAAGATGGCTGCCAGCATCAAAACTTTATTCTAACATTGTTCAGTACCAAAAGAGGATTCAGCTTTCAGCTTTACAGCAGTATTCAAAACATTAATTGCTAACAGGACATCAGTAAAAGATTTCAGATACCTACACCTATGTCATGCTTCTGCTTATATGTAACTACAAGCTGTGTTAGTAGCATCTAGGTTCTTAAAGTTACCTTTAGTTATTCAGTTGGGAATTAATTCAATGCATCATGATTTTTTTTAATATCTTGTAATGCAATGACTATTGGAGATATTAACATTAAGTCTTAAAATTCAGTATCATCCAAGTTCCAGAATCTGCAATAAAAGCCTTGATGGGACACAATTTTAATAAACAAGTTATTGTAGCATCCACATTTCTTTTATTAATTGAAAAACAAATGAAGCCAAGAGAAGAGAAAGAATACAGGCAAAGAACTTCAGCTCTGTCTGTGATTGAACAAGAGAAATTGGTTGGATACCTGCTGCATTGGACGAAGGTAAATGATACGGTTTCTTTCTGGTGGCATCCTGAGAATCTGATCTAGGACCTGATCCATGTTTAACTTCTTGCACTGGGCGTAGTCAAACCGATTCACAACTGGTGCATTTTCTACTTTTAAGTGTTTCAATACCCGGCACCTTGTAGCTATAAACAAGCAAATGAAATTATTAAAAGAATCAAAAGAAAACAAGAAATAAACTACTGAAAAGGCTTTCTCCTTTCAGACATCTTCAAAGCAGACTGTTTCAAAAGAAAGCAAACAAATAATGTAAGTAACAATTACTGAAGTAATTTGGATATCTGGCAACTTAAGTATATTGAAGAAATACAGCATCTGTTAATTTCTTCCATGTTCTGATCAAACTTTTATTAAAGTCCATGTCAAATTCAATCTAGTACCCTTCCCTCCTCCTTTGTTTCTTTTTACAAAGCCCCCTGAAACTTTCTGTGTATCCTCACAATTGAAATCCAACAACTTATAAATCAGATCCAATACAGCGCATTGCAGGGTAAAAGAAAGCTATTTCCTTTCTAGTAATCATGCTCATGTCATCAAAATCTAGTTAAAAGTTAATTTATATTTTAAGAAGTATTCTGGAATAAATGAAGAAATAATTTCCTCCTTCTCTGTTACACAAAGATACTTCATCTCAGAAGAAAACACGGTGCTTGTGTCCATGTTAGAGAAAACAACAGATGACACAACGCTTCACTGCAGGACTAGTCATACAACCTGGAATGTGAATCTAATGCATCTTAAGTGCCATAATTTAAAATAGATTTCTATCATGACAAGAAGGAAGACATCATCATGTCAGCTAACTAATATGTGGAAGCAGGAAGAAATGAGAGAAACAACAAGGTGCTTTAAAAATCATTTCATCAGCTTCCAATTGTCATGTTATCGCTCTCTTCAATAAGTATCTCTGTCTTTGTAACTGTCATATAATTTCAAGTGTTGATTTTCTGATACTAATCTTTATTAAATCTGTTACAGTTTGTAAGGAAAAGAACATTCAAATTGAGATGCAATAATTCTAAATATCAGTTTGACTTGTAGCAAAGCAGCAACGGATTAACTTGGCTTCCTTCAGAAACGTCTAATGATCCTAGATGGAGGAGACAGGCATAACATCAGCTACACACCATGTATGAACATCATTTTGGGGCAGTCTTTCAGTACCAAATCTGTTATTCCACAATTGGTCAAAGTGATTCCAACAAGATTTTTGGATTTCAAAGTCAGTACCTGTTGAAAACAAACAAACAAATCCATAATAGGTCAAATCAAATCAAATAAGCTGCTACTGCCAGATACACAAAGATACTAAGGACATACTAATCAAAATGTTACAACTTGGGTTCACAGGCATTTGAGATGACTAGTCACTTAATGGCAGAAAAAAAAAGACTTTCTGCTGACTAGCAACATCACAGAATGCAAAAGAATAACTTCACAGGATAAAAAAATAAAAGAAAAAAAAAGATTCTCATCAGAAAACACAGTTTCTATCAGATAATCTACCACCTATCAGTTATTTACTTAGTAAGAAAACCCCCAGCTTGCAACATTACAATTGAGCTGGTATTTCTAGAGTTAATTACATACACCATGTTTCTTTTAACAGCAGTAGCCTATGCTGTCATTTCTAAAATCAAATGTCAGAGAAGAAAATTTCCCCTTGCACATCACGGACAGTATGGGAAGGCAGGACTTTATGCAGCACTGTAGCTGTGAGCATCTCAGTAGCTTCAATTTTAGCTTTAGCATTTACTTTGCTCTTCTCAAGCCAGCCCAAGTATCACTGCACCCAAAACAGAATTTTCCTACATACAGACAGGACCACAGAGAACAACATCTAGTCCTAAAAGAAAGACAAGTCTACGCTACTGTATTGTTGTTCGTGAGCACCCCCAACTGATAAAAACTTGTAGTGAGTGAGGAAAAACATCTTACTTGAACATGATCATCCTCAATAACTGGGTCACTTGTGCTTGTGGACTTGTCAGCAGTCCTTTTCCGCTTCGTGGTTTGCCTTGGCCTTGGTTTGGTCACTTCTGAAAGCAGAGAACCAGAACAAGTTTTCCTCTGTTTACATCTCAAGAGAACAGAGGCATTTCCTAGGTGAAAATATCCATGAAGAACACATACTTTTTTTTATACAGCTAGATCAAAATACCTGTCTGTCCTGAAAAAAACTATGTATCTTTTCTTTGCACCAAAACACTTCCAGTACTTGAAGGGAGCATATAGGCAGGAGGGGAGACAACTGTTTAAGTGGGTTGATAGTGATAAGACAAGGGGGAATGGTTTTAACTAAGACAGGGGAGGTTTAGGTTAGATATTAGGAGGATGTTTTTCTACACAGAGGGTGGTGAAGCACTGGAACAGGTTTCCCAAGGAGGCTGTGGGTGCCCCATCCCTTGAGGCATTCAAGGCCAGGCTGGATGTGGCTCTGGGCAGCCTGGTTGGTGACCCTGCACATAGCAGGGGGCTTGAAACTAGATGATCACTGTGGTTCTTTTCAACCCAGGTCATTCTGTGATTCTAGGAAACAGACTTTCAAATTTGTTGCTCTGAATCATTTGTGTAGAACAATCTGGGGACTGGAGAAGGTAGGGGTGCTGTTTACAGATGAAAACACAGGAATCCTTAACCTACTGGTCCAAAATCACGGACAACGAGCCAAGAAAAGAACAGACGGCAGTTTGTTAAGTTACACTTGGTTCTGTGCAGCAAACAATGCTCTTAACAAATCCAGGAAACAAAATACCTTTACTGTTTTAAATAGTAGAAATAACCTCAAACTACCTGAAAGTTGGTTCTTTATAACTTTCAGAGTTTTTCCTGACATTGCAAACAATGCCCAGGTATAAAATACTCTGAGGTCCGCAAACTGCTTCATACTCTATTAAAATGCATCAGTTGTATCAAATTCCTTCTTGATTTAAAATACAAAGCTTTGAAAAGAATAAATATAATAATTAATTTTCTACGATTAACAGATCAAAAGTATCAATTATTTTACTAAAGTGAATCACCCTTTAACTTTTTTCCTTTGTAAAACAGATGGCATGCTTACAAAGGTTTATAATCAAGATAAATGTGCAGAATATTAGAAAATACTAACTATTCTATATCACTATTAACAATAAGAGATCATTATTAACATATGTAACATCATCAGCTTCCAGTACACAAGAACTATTAATTACAAGTGATACTCGGCGGGCTTATGAGCTGCAGAATTCCACCTAATCCTTTAGGGGAGCCAGAGGCTGAAAGATCTGATGTTAGGTAGTTCATGAACGAATGATCATGAAAAATGAACGATCATTCCCATGTTTGAGTTGAGGGTTGCTTGATTTGCTTTTGTTGTTTGTTACTTTTTAACAGTTCCCACAGCATTTACAGACAGGAAGCATTTCACTATCTACAACACAGCTCTCCAATTCTGTGTTGCATTGCTCAACATACAGCCCACGGCCTTACAGAAGGTTCAACACAACATTTTTAAGCTCATGAAAAGCTTGCTTCACCACGAATGAGAACTAACACACGTCAAAATGAAAAGATTCATTACAGGAAAAGTTGTGGCTTGCATTTTTACTGAGGTAAAAATCACTATTACACACCATATTTCAGCCAGTGGTCATTACTGGTCATAATGCTTTCTACATTTCACTGGCTTTGATGTTCAACTCATTCCACTGTTTAAGTAATTAAAAAAAAAAAAAGAAAAAAAAAAAGGAAAGAAAACTTTTAACTACCAAATATAGGTTTGTTACAGAATCTGAAAATCAGTTTGATTTATACCAGAATAGAGGAAAGCAGTGACTTTTACTGCACATTCCCAGGTTATTTATAGGAAAACAATTCAAACTCTACAGCAAAATAATATTAAGATCTCACTGACTTATGAAGATAGAGAGGAAATGCTGTCTTTTAATTAAATAATGCAGATTAGTCATAATGGAGCAAGGTAGAAAAAATATTAAATGTAAAAATAAGATCACTTCTTCTGAGATGCTTTCAGCCATGGAACGATTCCTACATGATTTAGGTTATGTTCACACTTAGCAACACCAAGTTAAACTGGAAAAACATAAGGACTTGCTGTGTTTGAATTATTCCATGTTACCAGAGATACGAATCTGCTACCAATCCTTTCTACCTCCATCACGTACGGGCCTGTTATTCAGTATGTTTCATGCTTAACTTCAGTATTACCTGTGGGTGTTGCTCTTGTTCAACACTTTCTCATGGCAGGACAGTAGTTTACTCAGAAATGAACACTGTATATAGGCCATACCTGACTCTGACACCAGAGGGACATGTGACAGCTTGCTTCTAGCTCTCGTCAGCGGCCGGCGAGGATATTCTTCTTTATGCTGCATCTCACAGGTTTTCTGCTGTGAGCCCACGCTCTGCACCCCACTGGCAGGCCCACAGGCACTCCCACTAGTCCTCTCACCACTTGCCTCTCGAGGAGACCCACAGTTCGGCAGAGTCCTAAGTGCAAAATCTGACCCAGTGCTGCTCCGTCCACTCCTGCAGGCACCACTGGTGGATGGGCATTCCCCATCACAACACCCACTAGTCCTCCGCTGCGTGTCCTGTGGCTTGTAGCAGGAACACCTGGAACAAACAGAGGTCTCCTCAGTCTCTCTCTCACTGGAACCTTCACTTTTACAAGGTGAGCAGACACACTGCCTGGATTCATCTGCAGCTGTTAGGCTGGTGCCAGCACAGTGGCTACTAGCTGTCTGTGCACAGTCAGGGCTAGGAGAAACAGCACTGCAGGAGCTGGATGATCCTGTTGATCCTGTTGCATTACCACAGCTCGGGTAAGAATCTTTGCCTTTGTTCCTTTCAGGCATGTCACTTGCTGCTTTCATGTCTGCTTTAATCTGCTCACTTGTTACTTGACAACCTTTCTCACAGCTGCTTTCCTCCATATGGAACTGCTTTGCCTGGCCCACTTGGCTGGCACTGCATCTCTTCCGCAAGGGTGTCTTGCCTTTACCACTCACTGTAAGTTAAATATCAGAAAACAATGAGACAACCAAATACACAGTTCAAATAAATACTGAGTGCTGGCTACTCTTTTAGGCTTCTTAAAACAGAATGTAGCCTAGAGTACAATAACAAATCCTGTCATGACCATTATGCTGTTCACAACTCCTTCAGATGTTCTGTGAATTAACACTAATTTGAGCAGTCGTTCAGTTTCTATAAAGTCTTTCAGCTATTTCTGTAGTGGTGTGCTGGTGTGCCTGTCAGTAAATATGACACGTATTTGCCAGAAGGGTTAATATTTTGACAAACCAGCTAACCAGTTGGTTAAAAAGGCATAACCACAGAAATATGAAAAAAATTATATGTTTTTTAATTATAGGTTTCTCTTTTCTTAAATATAAGGAATAAATCTGAAGAATTAAATAATAATGTAGATATGACAAAAGTTTGTTTTCAACAGCTATCTTTAGGTCCCCTCCTAGGCACAAAACACAGTGTAGGTAGGTTCTAGATATTTCAGTTTACAGATGAACAAAGAAACACAGTGAATAGTGTACAAAATCACAAGGAGAACCTAAAAATCTACTAACTTATTTCTCTCAGCTAATTACACTAAACTAGGCCCCCCAGAATATTACTGGCTCTGCAGAAGTTCAATCCAATTGCCTCTAAACGCTTCTTGTTTTCTACCACAGATTATTTCAACTCCCCAAAGGGAACCGACGTCTACATTGTAACAATAGCCCTATACAGCCTCATGGAAATGTGCTAAAATGACGAGAGAGATTAGGTGTAAGGAGTATGATGACTACAAGAAGATACTTGTTTCATTGCAGCTTTGATTCTTCCTAGGTCTTACAGAAACCAAATCAGTATCAGACCAGTACATTTCTCAGTCTTTCACAATACAGGACTCCCATGCTAATTGCTTAGCTAAAAACTCATCAAGTCTTAATACCACATGCACTTCAACTGTCAACTACTTATAATTTGACTTTGACTTCCTCCTTTCTTGCATACATATGAAACCACTTCACTTAGAATAAAAACTACAGGAAATAGTAAGTCATCTGTGCTGCTGGAAAGACAGCATGTCACACAGTATCAGACACAGGACTCAGAATTACTGCCACAGCTGCACATATTATAGCTGTAAATTCTGCAAGGGAGGGAATGCCCTTTTCTGCATCTCTCTATAGTTGCCACACTACCACAAAGAGCCTCTGACTCTTAATAACATGTATACTAAAAATAAGTATATACATACACATACACACAGTAATCATGAGCACTGTTGAGAAGTGGTGAACAGAGTACTAAATGTAACCCTGAGAATTCTAAAGTTCCTATCAAACTAAAGTTCACCTGGAAGCATCCCCTCCCTCCAGGACAATTCCACAGGTCCTGTATGAACCAAAAGATGGCCACAACTGTCACTTTTATTATTTTTTATTTTTAAACCAGGAGCAATGCTTTGGCAGGGGAATCATAAATGCAAAAGAACTGCAAATTTGCCTTCACAGACATGCTAAATTACACACACTTGCAAATAAAGAGTGGCAGGTTTCTGCCTGCTGAGCAGTGCAGCACTATACTTCTGATTTGCATCTGTACAACAACTACATGATCAGAGCTCATAGAGAGATGTCCTTGCCTCTCTATTCTTTACTTATAATAAGGAAGAAAAGTGGAGGAGGCAAACAAACATGCATGCCTTTTACAAAGCTGTAAACAAGACTGAAAAACTGAAGAACAAATTTTGCAGAACACTGTCCAGCCCTCACCCAGCTGTTCCACACCTGAAGGTTCTTTAGTTTCCACTGGATCTCTGGTTTTCTCTTCTCCATCTGAGTAATTCTGTGCAATGTTGTTAGTGATGCAGGCTCTTGTTCCCATGCTTTCTTCCTCATCCTCGCTGTCTGAATCATGTACAGTAATAGGTGCTGCTTTTACAACAGGTTGAATGCCACTTGGTCCTGAAAACAGAAGAACCACAACAGTTCAAGTAAAAATAAGAGAAGAGTGGATTAAAAGTCTGAAGAACTTCTAGAACTCCTTGAAAAAAATTACGAGAGATGAATTTAGTTCACTTTAGCCATCTCATTCAACTTCATCACTCATTCTGTGGCTCCATCATTGAAAGAAGCATGAATTACCAACCTTGAGTATAAATGTATATTATTAGTTACCTAATAACAAAGGCAGAAGAAAATTGGAAATTGTAATACAGACTTTAAAATAGACTAAATTTCTTCACAGAGATAAGCTGTGCTAGCAACATAATTTCAAATGTACCAGATATTTCACCTGGAAAAAAAAAATTAATAACCAAACTTACACTGAAGTACTTAACACCTTGAGAGGTGATACCAAAAGGCAGTTTCTTACCAAAAGCATAGTTACCTGCTTGCTCTTCATCAACCTCCATAGGAACAACAGCCTGGCTGTGAGCAGGGACATCGTTGTGGCCCTGTCCAGCAGCCATCCCTTCTTCTGGTGCCACCTCCTCCATCTCATTTAGTGCTGAGAAGATTGAGGTACAGTTAAAAGAAGGAAATAAAAGTAACAAAACCCATGGAGAGGAATTCAATCAACACCTAGCCAGTCAGTCACCAAGAAATACATAACAATTGCCTTGATTTCTTCACAGAGTCTCAAATTTGCACACTGAAGTCCTGTAAAGACCTGTTCTACTTAAAAGAGCCCACAGCAACTTGTTCTACGTTTTCTAGCTAAAGTCCTAGTCTTTTTTTTTTTTTTTTTTTTTAAGTTTCAGTTTTCTCCCAGATTTTCCACTCTTCAAAAGTCTTCTAACATTGCAATGAGTAGTGTAATCAGAATTCACATCTTCATTCCTTGAAATGACATCTGTCTTCACTGGTAAAGCTTAAAAATATACTATCGGACACTGTGACACACTACTAAGCCCTGACCAGAGAAGCCTGGAAAACACCTCACACCTCCATCCATGAATGAGTATCACACTGAAGTTTTACACTGCTAACATCAGTACTGCCTCAAGTCATTGATTTTTAATGTCCCTGCATCAGTTTCTAGATACAACAGGGAGATGGCTTTTATCAGAGGTATCAGCAATGTGCAGACAGCACTAAGAAAAGGTTAAAAAATTACAGTTACACACCAGGAATTGTAAGGGTTTTCAATATATATGTTCTCTATGACTCTAGGTAAGTAGCAATACAAGCATACTGACTACCCAGCAGGGTTCACAAAGATCAGAGATTACCCTCAGCTGCAATCTGCTGCCCTTCAGCTTGCCCATCCTGCCGCAGCTCATTCTCCTCATTTTGGTCATTTGGATGTTGATGGTTGTTGTGGTGGATGTTGGGATTGTTGTTATTTTGGTGATTATTGTTGTTGTCATTGTCATTGTTAGAGTTCTGATTGCTGACTAGGGCAGATGAGACACCGATTCCTGTGCCTGCACTTAAGCCCACACGAGCACAGCCCTAAAAGCAAAGAACAACTCTAAAGCTCTGAAAACATTGACAGATTACCTCTGTAATGTACCCTACTGCTATGAAAAAAAGCATTCTGACAGTATACAGAGACTAATATCTATAAGAAGAGCTAGTAAATTGTTCCTAATATTTCCTTATGTTATACACTGCAAAGGTCTATCTTAAGTTTGGCAATCCAGAAAACTTTCCTTTCTCTGTAAGGATCCTAATGAAAGGAAACTCTATAAACGATAAAATCTTAACTTACTGAAATATGTCATATGCTACTAGATGATTTACATCAATACAATCAGCAGGCTATACAGTCTTCCTGGAACACAATAGCCTCAAGATAGAACTAACTACCAAGGATCACGTTTTCTGGTCACATGATCATATGGTATCATAAATGCCACTGTTTTCTCTGCAAAAGCAGCACCACTCTCCCTAACAAACCATAATAACAGCAACTGCAAACCTAAGTAATTCGGTCACCAAGCTATTCAATTTAATTACTAAAACTTTTAGAAGCATGCCTAACTGCTAGAGTTCACTGTATTTCTAATGAGCAGGCAAAAAAAAAAAGCAAATTAATTCCCCAAAATACACACCTTAGGAGGCTCACGGAACATCTGGTCCAGAGAAATAAATTCTAAGCTTGGCAGTAACTCAATGAACTGACTGAACGAATCCAGCTTTATCGCGTGGCATCGCACCAATGTGAGGTCAACCAACCGGGTCCATCTTGAATGATCTGCAGAAGAGAAGAGATCTATTTCCTTAAGAACTCCTATCTCATTTATTTCTCACTGTCGTCTTTCCAGATTTTAGAGTAGGCAGTTTGGTTAGAGTTTGGTGTCCCATCTGACTGTTACCAGCAACATTCTGGTTCCAAACCACGCATCACCTATCGTACTTACGACAAAACAGAATAAGCAGTAGTATGAGGATAAAAAAAATCTGTTCTAAAATCACTATGGGGTTTTCATGTCGTACCATCCTTTGAATTGCAAAGAAGAGCAAAACGTTAAATCTGTGGATGTTCACTTTAGTTACATTGTATTATCCTGCGTACAGTTCCTGTGAGTAACGTCACAAGTCATTTTATTATCTTCTGGTCATTACTCAATGATTGCACAAAATAAATTTGTATCTTCATTTCTAATTCACAGCACATCAGTACTGATATTGAAAAGAACCCTAATCTGTTTCTCACTTTCTCCCTGGTACTTCAGCAGCTGAAATATACATAAAATCCAGAGGGCCACAGGATTTAACTATCTTTCCACCACAAGACCTGCAAGGATGTGCATTCAAGAAGGTTAAAACAAAAATATGCACTCTTAAGATACACACATAAAAAGTAGATCATATTGCCATTTTATATGTTAAAATACTGTACTCTCTCTTGCCTAGCAGTGCAAACACTTTCACATTTGTATACAGAAACTATGCATGGAGTCAAAGAATCGTTCACACATTTACATTTCAACACTTTTTTTTTCCACCTAGTACCTCATTATTTTGCTTCTTACTAAGAGGATCTTATTTCTTAAAAGTTAAGATTTAGCATGAATTGCTCATAAAAATGTGAGCTATTCACACAATATTTCTAAAATTTCAGAAAGCGTGCAATACCTGTGATCCAATTATTTGGGTTATGTAGATGTGGGCAGTTGTAAATGACCAGATACTTGATGCAAGAAAAAACCTCATTTACAGCTTTCATACCAATATCTGTAATAATTCCTGGATTTTCAACCACATCAGCCAAGCCATACTTCACCAAGTCCCCATTTGTCATTTTACCTATGGAAAAGACAGTAGAAATAGTGGTAAACTTTAGAAAACTGCTTTTCACAGCACGATGTTCTAATTCCCTATTTCAGTCTAAATTGCAAAGTGGATCAAACAATCACTTCAGCTGAATAAAGCTGAGACTTTCTAACTTCAATGAGCATTTCAAGAAGTGAAAAAACAAACAAGCATTTTGTTGTATGAGATCAGCAGCCTCATTAAGGGTAAACTAAAATTCTTTATGATCACTCTTTAGACATTGACTGAACATTGACATCAACTCTTTTAATCCTTGTATCTATCAAATAATTTATGCATATTAAAAATGCCATACACTGTAGTAAAAACTCATCAACATATCCTAGATGAAGAGTTTCAAACTGTGGAAATTCCAGTTCAGCCATCTTCAAAGCAGAAAAAACACCATCTTTGGTCAAGGAAGGCTGGATCCGCACTTCATGCAACCTGAATGCAATCAAGAATTATTCATATTATGAGGCATTCCCAAACAGCTGTCACAGAAACTACTCAAGAAGATGCACTCTGGTAGCACAAAGAAAATATCTCACCAATGGTAGGATTAAGAGAATATTTGTATCTTTATGGCAATTTTTTGCAGTTACAGGAAGCATCAGAGTAGCCAGACTAAACAGCACAGCACTTTCCAGACACAACATGATTCAGACACAGAAAGAACTCCAGTTATTTTAGCCAAAGAATACAAGTACTTATTCCTTAAACTTTTGAATGTTGTTCTGCTTCTTCACATTCTTGAACTTTACTACTAAGACACTTATTTTGAAAAAAAGAGGAAAAAGAAAGCTCTGAAGGGCCATACCTTCGTGCAGCAGTTATGATGAGGTAGCCAAGATCCACTTCAAGTGCATTCTTGCAAGCTCCCAGAACTATAGTGTGCAAATTCCTAAAACCACCTGACAAAAAAACATCATTTCATCACACAACCTTAAGCCTTCTACGCTTCTACCAGTGTTGATGTGACAAGAGAATTAACCAAATACATCCATGATTTTTAAAAAATCTATTTATTAAAATACAAGAGAAGCTTTATACCTGATCTCCAGCTATCTTCTACCACGTGCTGAATAAGTCCTCCAAGAAATGGAACACGGACCAGTTCCAGATGCTCCAGATTTCGGGCAGAAGCCAGGCCTGTCACTAGGGGAACATACTTCAGAGAATTTGTGGGTCCTACACAGAACAGATCAATGTTGGTAAAATATTGCTCACGTAACAAAATTAAACAAAATATCATCTTAAATAATTCAAAGATGTCAACAGAATTACACAGCATCAAATAACATGGAAAAAGATATTCCTACACAACACTTTAAATAAAACAACTCCTCTCAGATTTCCATTTGCAGTTGATAGCTATGCAGCTTTAACATAATTATTAGATTTGCAGTGTGCTAAAACCACAGATGAATCCCTCTTACCTGCACAATTTCTCATTACAAAAGTGCGTAAGCTGATACAAAGGAAATCTTTAAAAGGCTGTGGTTTAGTGAGTCTCACCCACTTCAAATAAAGGTGCCTCAGCATTGGGATACAAGGAATCTCAGGGACATTCACTCCTAATAATACATAAACAAAATGAAAGTTCAATTCAGGAACCACTTTTAAAAATGCATTTAAAGTATAAACTCCAGGATAAATTTCTTCAGGTTAATACTCTGACTATAAAAATGAAGCATTTTCTTTGTCACATGAAGTGTGATAAAAGCTGTACACGTTTTCAGCACAAGTCCTTCAGCACAGTTTGTGAATACAGTTTAAGACTTTCCCTTCCTGCTATTATATGTATTGCAACAGATATCTCAAAAAATTCCACAAAATCAAGTTTCCTCTCTTCACAATAATGACAATCTCTCAGAGTTTGAGTAAGAGTTTGAGAGTAGACTTTAAAAGACTTTAAATTCACCTGTGATTAAGGCAACACACATCAGCACTAAACACTCACCTACTAAGTGCAAAGTCTGAATTTTAGCTCCTATAGGAATTTTCAGCTTGTTCTCAGGAGGGATTGGAAAAGCACCGTTACGATTACGAAACTTCCCTAAAATATGAACTTGTGGCATGTATGTCCAGATAGCTTCCACCAGCTCTAAATGGGAGGTCTCAACGCCCTGGAAAAAAAAAAAAAGAAGTAAATGCTTAAGCAACAATAAGCATAAGCAATAACAGCAAGCAATAAGTTTAAGCAACGATATGCTTACTAGCCATGTAAATTTCTCAGTAACACACCAAATATAATGCAGTGTTATTTTACTGGACATTTGCAGTGCGACTTGTCTTTTTAAAAGCAAGAGGAAACACAGTTTAAACTCTTAGCTGGACTTAGCATCACCTGTGATTCCCACTGGCGCAACTAAACAAAGTACTTGTAAGCACTGTTCACTTGTATATATGGTCACAATTAAATGCTATGTTGTACAGCCAGATTTCAGTATAAACTCAGTAAATATGAATGCAAAATCTTGTAAGCCACACTTTTCTGTTTGGTTAACAAGAATTATCTCAGCTGTTGAAAGAATCTCTCTCTTGAATCTAACCACTCACCAACAGATTTGGACAGGCCTGCAAAGCCTCTAGAACTCCAGGAATGCTGAAAGCTTCGTGGCCACGAACTCTGCGTCTTTCAAGATACCTGGGATGAAGACCATAAAGTTGTTCAATGTCTGGCATCTTCCTCAGCAGCGTTAGGAAACTGGAATCAGTGAAACCTAAGATGACAACAACAGATTTGGTATTTGTGTAACAGCAGACACCCAGCTGTAAAGGGAAAGCCAAAGGTGTTGTCCTTTTTATATGGCAGTGTAAATTATAATGTCAAAAGATGTACTCAGTGAAGCAATAGCTTATCATCTGCTTCCAGATTATAGAAATTGTGATCTACATGCTTCTGCCTTGAATTCTGCAGGCTTGCTAAGTCTCCTGAAGGAGACTCCTGTGTGTTTGCATAGCTACAGGGCTAACTATGCCTTCGCCCGTTTCAGATGATGGACATCTGCAGACAGGCTCTGTGCCTCTATCTTTTCTGGAATCCCACTTACCAACTTATGGCTCAACAACACCCAACCAGATCAGTTGTCTGTATCTGTCACTATTCACCACAGCTCATAACTCCCCAAAACATGAAACAATTTTTTTAAAGCAAAGGATTATTTTATTCTAACATAAGACAACATATAAGAGGGATTTTAAAGCTGTAAATTATCTCTATTTACATCTGTCTTAGGTTAGGTGCAATCACGTACCTGATATCAGTCCTAATGCATCTAACTGCAGATTCTCTAAGTTTTAGAATTCACTTATTTTAGCTCTCACCCCCAACAAACTTCAACCAAAATTCTAATACTCACAGGGGTGACCTAAGTTGCCAAACTTATCTACTGATCTGAAGATAGCTTGACGTGTGACATCAAAATTTATTTATTCTTACATTGTAAAGTGGTGGCAGATGAGTTGCTCTCTCATTCCATTGTATTTTTTCCTGCCTGCATGCAAAGAGACTCTTCTTGGATTAACCCTTGGTTTAATTCCCTTACAATAACCAGACAAAGACAGATTGTATTTATAGACTGCTACAGAGAATCCCCATTTCAGCTACAGTAGCATCCAACATACATATATATACACACAAACTTGAGGAAGCCACCCAGACCTCACAATCGGACAAAAAGAATCCAAAGCCTAGCTCCTGTTACTGCTTTTGAAAATTCACCCTGTACATGTCAGTATAAACAACAGGACAGCATGCACAGCCAGTTTTGCTCAACACCACTTTAATGCCAGATCTTGAGTGAGTGCACTACTCACCAGTGGGCATGTATTCCCACCAACGGCCTGCACATAAATCCACAACCTTCACTACTCGCAGATAAAGAGTGACTGCTTCCTTCAGCTTCCGGGACAGGCATTCCATGCACATGATATCCTGCAAGGGAAGGTACCTTTGGGAGAGGAAAAAACACCCCTCTGATTTATCAAATGTGAATTCCTTCAGCTTCTTCCAAAATAAAGAACATCTCAAGGATGGCTACATGAATTCATACATTTCTAACACCTAATAACATTAATTCAAACAGAATTTTCAGACAGCACTCTGTGAGATTTGGCTGCAGAGAAAGAAAGACCAATTTTTGATACTAAATACAGGCTATTTGAGGTACAAATTGAACACTAAAGCAGGGACGTGTTTTAGCTCTCTAACTAATACTGTCAACCAAACCATTAGCCACAATAATTTTTTCACAGTTTAATCAAAGCTATTTTCAGTTTCTGGTACATACTATCACGTTCAAACTGCAAATATCTTGTGGGAGCTATTGTTTTCAGAGAACTTGTCACAAAAAATGCTATCTTTCCAGTATAATTGGCAGGGTGAACACCTTGCAGGATGGCTGTTGCAAATGAGGTAATATACTCATCCAAGTTCCCCTTTGTAGGCACTGTGAAGCAGATACAATTTCAAACAAAGCCTATCAGCTATGTAACACCTGAGATACATATTTCTGCACTGAAATAAATCTTTAAGCACTTGTCATCACATGCTTGTGAACAAAATTAAATCACCCTTTTTGTTGTTGTTTCTCACTTATTATACTATTCATCACATTCACAAGTTAACTTTCAAAGTGTCTGAATGAATTCTGCAACTGAAAGACTGATCCCTGACCCTTTCAAATTCAGTTTTTATCCAACTCTTCACACATACTACCTCAATACTTTCTGAGCAGTTTGTGACACAAGTATTAATGGAGGTGAGATTAGAAAACAAAACAGAAAACAATATAATAATAAACAATAAACTTGATTTCTGAAAAGCTGCTCACCTAAAGATGTGGCAAAGCACTTCATGGGAGAGCTGGTTCATGTAATCTTTTGGCTCATCAGCTTTGGTAGACTCAGAACCTTCTCTGTTCACCGAGCACGGTTTCACATTTTTCCGCCTGGGACCCATATTTGCAATGATTTCTGAAGAAAGGAAATGTTCACGTTACACAAATTGAGTGCAACTGAGAGAGAAGGCCTGAATAGAGGATGCACCACCTTAAGCTTACTTTCTCTAAATAAATAAATAAATAAATAAATAATAAAAAAAAAAAAGAAAAGAAAAAAGCAAACTGCAGTGCAGTTGAATTAACTGAAAAATAGAATTTTTTTTTTTCAGTAAGTTGTAGTTTGCCTGGTGTGTGAGGTTCACACATGACTTCCCAAATCTATCGCTACTCAGAGGAAGCGGAGGTGCAGGCGCCTCATTGGTGACAGCTCAGGACCTGAGGGAGCTGAATGGAGCATCAGGGAGAGGTCACAAGAGTATTAGGGAAAGGTTCTGCCCAGAGGCACAGGACAGGCTCCCCATGGCTGTGGTCATGGCATTGAGCCGATGGAGCTGAAGAAGCATTTGGACAATACTCAGAAATAAAGCTCGATTTCTGTGGGATTCAGCATGGAGCCAGCTGTTGTACTCAATGAACACTGTGGGGGCCCTTCCAACTTGGGGTATTCTATGATCCTACGAAACCAGAAAATCCTTTTGAGGAAACTGATAAAGAGGAAAATCGCCACAGGTTTTAGATCATCTCTTCTGTGTGAATAAAATGTCTTCAGAAATATCATCCACATACTTGTCAGTCAAGACAAATCACACCAAGAGATTATCAAACACCAACTAGAGATCGCCCAGTGAAACAGCACAAGGCCTCTGTCCAGCAGAAAAACAATTTTCCCTTTTAAAGAAGCCAGGCTCCAGATAATTCCTGAAAAAAGAAGGACTGTAAGAAGTGGCTGGCTCCTCTGAAAGGTTACAATGCTAAAAAAAATACTCAGGTAGCTTAGTTAAGGATCAACGTTGCTGAAAAGCTCAAAGATCTCGCTTCAGCAGCAGTGTGCAGGACATCCCCTCTCTGCTCTCTTTACTGAATTCCAGTGTTTGTGCTTATACTGCCCAACAGCACACACTGGCACAGAAAGACTGGAATAACAATAAAGTTTTATTTAAAAGCATTTATTCTAAGAAATAACACATAGCTGAAATAAATGTGAACTTCATATTAACAACAGAATAACTGAGTTAACATCCTATACAGACAAACAGCAAGAGAAATGTCTTTAGTTCTGCTGTTTAGCTGAGGAATGCTTTCTGCTGAGTAGGGCAAAACAGCTTTAACTCAGTAAACCTGTCTAACAGGTTGAATAGCAAAATTCAGTGGATGAGAGAAAACAAATTTAAAAAAATGGATTTTGGAAGATTTATCAGAGGTGTTTCTGTTACAGTGCTCACTGTGATTTAATACAGCACAGTACTTTTTATGACGTGCAAATGGCTCCTTAGCAGATAAACAAAGCACCTCCTGGTAATTAAAAGGAAAATTCTGTGTTCTGGAACACAAAAGATTCACACGCTGGCACAAAATGAAAATTTGAAACCATGACAGCTTCACTGTGATCTAACTGAAAAACATGTGCTTTTGAAAAACATGTATGTATCTCTTTAGACACTTTTCATTAACAACTGCATGGCTCATAGTTAATCTCATTTTCAATACTGATACTAAAGTAGCATAAATGGCAACTTTTGCTACTGAATTGCATGTAACATATATGTATCCCTGTGGATTGGCTGGGGCCTCTTCTGCCAAAGCTGAAAACTCTTAAGTGTGCTGCCCGTACACATACTGCATTTCTTTTCAGTGCACGCTGGGAAAGTTCAGGGCGTTTGCAACACTGCACTGTTTTTCAGCTTCAGAAAGCCTAAAATTGACTTCAAACTACTTTTGACACCGAGTTCTTATGAAAAGAAGTATTGCATGGATTCCAAGTGAATATCACCTGATCATTCAATTTGCACAGAGCCAGATACAATGTCAAAAAATCTTGATTAACAAGCAGATTCAGGAGTAAAGTAGAGAAGTATTTCAAGTGCAACAGCATAAAAGATGACAGACTGTGATCTGAGGGAAGAGGAAGATATTAGCAGATCAGCGTGAAAGGGAGAAGTCTAGAAAAATCCAGATTTAAAGGCAGCAAGCACAACTTTCTCTGATATTGGGCTGTCGCTGCACTCGGCTCCTACCAATAAGGAAAAAGAGCCTGAATCTCTTATGCAGCAGCGTTCTGCAGAACGCATGCTACTCCAGGTCCCACGCTGACAAGTTAAAGGTGCACCTATCGTTCTGTGCTGCCAACTCGACTCAATTTTCAAAAATAATTTAAAAAAAAAAATCATGAAGCAGGCAAACGAGCTTGGTTCTTCCCGGCTAAGCTGCTGAGGGTCACTTTAAGCCGAGCAGCTCCTCATCACAGCCGCCCCCAGCCGGAACGACGAGGCCCACCGCCAGGGGAGCGGAACGAGCCGGAGCTGCCGGGCCCCGCAGCCGCGAGCGCTGCCGAGACACCACGGAGGAGAGCTGAGCTACGAGCAGCGCTCGCTCCGCGGCGTACAGCTGATTTCGTGCCGAGGTACGCGGATACGACGGCAGATTCCCTCGCCGCTCTCCCGCAGCCAGCCCCAGCGGGCACCCTGCGCCCGCCCCGGGTCCCCCCGCTTTCCTCAGGGCCTGTCACTCCGCGAGGGTCCCCACGCAACAGCAAAAGGGGACAGAACCGCCGCGCCAGGCCCAGGCTAGCGAGGGGCTGAGGACCGGGCGGACGGCTGCAGCTGACGGACCCGCCATACCTCCGCCCGCCCGCCGCCCCTTACCTGCCCCTCAGCGCCGCCCTGTTATTGTGCCCGCGGGGATGGCTTAGCCCCGGCAGGCGCTTCCTGCGCGGTCCCTTCCGCCAGCGCCGCCGCGCTTCCTGTCTCGCTTCCGGTCTGGGCGGAGAGCGGCGAACCTCGTCCCGCCCCGCCGCCATCTTTGCGTAGCAGCGAGGAGGTGGAACTATGCCGCCGCCATCTTGGATGCGTCCCCGCCAACATGGCCTATCGCGTGTCGCGCGCCGGGCGCCATATTGGTGGTGGCTGAGGTGCGGCGGCCTGCTCCTCCCTCCTCATTGAGGTGCGGAGATCTAAATTGTGTATTTCCAAAGAGATGGAACAGAGGAAAACAGAGGAAAACTGTTCTCATGCAGACAGCTGGCTTGACAACAGCAAACAAAAATGTGTAGTTGTGCGTGTGAGGTGGTGGGGATTAAAGCAGCCCACACAGCACCAGTGCCTGTTGAGAGGAAAAGAAGGCGATTTATCAAAATTACACCTCAGCCCACAGTTCTGTATGAACTGAGAAGCGATTCTGACTGCGCTATCTGGCTGTAGCACAGCCCCAGGAGTACTGCTAGTTGTCCTTGGTAAGCGTTGGTGGAAGTCTGCCGGTCTGCATTTAGCTCATCATTTACAGATTACACTGAGTACTTCTTGCCCTTGTTTTCTGTAGCTTTTCTGCTGCTCTTCAGTTTATCTGGGAAATTGAAGAATTTAGCCATGATAAGCCCATACAAAGCAACCATCTTGCACGTTAGAACCTCTTATAAAAAAATAAAGAGATAGTCTGTATGTGTAATTAATTGCCACAGTCATTTATGAACATGTGGTCACATTAGTGAGTTTTTATTTGCTTGAGTGCCAACCCATTCTTCCTTATGCAAAACAGCTGAACACAGTAGGGCCTTCTGACTGCAAAGCTACAGTCTTATTTTTCATGTATTAAACAGAGTCAGGCTATAAAAATCGCACAGTTTAGAGTGAACATTTGTGGGTAAACATTCTCACTGATGGGAAAACTGTGGTCTAAGACACAGTAACCTGGGGAAAAAACATCCCAAGTGAAGTCTATGACATCACTGTTGATTAAACACATGAATTGGCATTCATATTTACTGTGACATTATTCATTCATCTCAGCTGCAAAGTGGCTTCATGCAAAAAATGCTTCTGTTTAGTTTTTCCTATTCAGTCATTGTATCTCTTCATTCTTCTGCTAACTCAAACACAGTTACAGTTACTAAAAAAGAAGGCTGCAGGAGTATCTACTGTCTAAACCACCCAGGCAATCTTACCAATAGCCTGGCTAACATAGCATATTTGGCACTCCTGTAAGTTTTTTTAATAGGAAAAAAAAACAAAAACAAAAACTTACAATAGAAGAATTATTAGTGGCAGAAATGTATGGAGAATAGTCTGTATTTAAGCTAAGTTGGTAAAGGAAAGGGATGGATTGAGCATAATACTATTAACACTGGAGCAGACCCTCTTCTTGGCAAGAAGTGTGAGTTTTGGATTTGTCAGCAACAGCATCCAAACATTTTGTCCTCCAAATACGAGGAAACTAAGTGAGCTCTCTTACAGAAAACTAAGTAAAAAAGGGAAACAGTAGTCCATTCAGCAGAAGGATGAAAATCTGATAGTTTTTAGTAGGACTGAGAACACCAGTAACAGAAGAACAGAGACGCACTCAGTTGAATTAAGGAATTTGGATAGAGCAGTTTGCTTATAAGAGTTCAGCTGATAGTACGAAAGGTTAGGTGGCTCTAAGATTGTAAAAACCAGAACACCTTTTCTTTCTCAGAAGAAACTCAACAACTCATCACACAGATCAGTAGTACGCTGATCTTTGGAGGTAGTTCATTGGCTCTATTTCTATCTACATTTCAGAAGTTCTGAAATTTGAAATAATTGTACTTAAACAAGAACCAAAAGTAAAACGTTTAGGAAACAGAAGTAGTAGACAAACATCAATTTAAAAAGTAATTTTCTGGTTTTGATCCAATTTAAAATGAGATAGCATGCTACATTACTGAGTTAACAGTATCTTAACTATGTAACTTAAACTAGTTTCAGAGCATTCACTTTGCTTACTTTTACCCAAAGTGTTGAGATCTCTCACTTAGAGCTGAGGGACACTGTTCAGACGTGCATGCCACAAGTCCCTGTTTTAGGGAAGCTTTGTTATCTTGTTATTAAATAACCTACAGACTCTCAGCACTTACTGGTCTCCCAAAAGATATTTCTAACCTTGAGTTTTCTGGGACACTTTCCATTTCCTATTAACTTTCTAAGATACTTTTCAGCTCAATTTCTGTTAGAATTAAGAACTAACCACACACAAAGAAGCTAACAAAGACTAAAAGATTCTAAGGAGCAACTATCAAATATCCCCATAGTCACAATCAGAAACTACAAGCTGAGAAAGTCTTTAAAAGCAACGTACTCTCTGAATCTAAAACTCCTAATTAACAACTTATATAACATTTTTCCCATATCCAGTCCTTTTGCTGCCAACACAGTTTCTAGAAACTTTCTTCACATATCCCAAACTCCAAGATACCAAACTTCCTTTCCAGAAACTTTTCTCTGTCTTTTATAAGAAAGCCTAACGAGTTTCACCTGCATCACTGAGTCAACAGACAGTGTTTTGCTCCTCTCTCCACAGCTGATAACTGCAGAACGTGAGTTGATATGATTCTGACATAGATTCCCTCTTATTTGTCAGTAATGCTCTCACCCAGATTTAAATTTCTACCCCCCCATTTCATGCTGTAAACATCTATTTGAAGCACTGAGGTTCATCCACAGGGGAAAGTATCTGTCTACTGATATTTGGACCCCTCAGAACTGTAATTGCATTTTAATAAATTGGTAGACCTGGAAGATCATATGCTGCCAAGGTGCTGTGGTTGCACGGAATGCAATTGCCATGTCCTCCCCATAATAACTCATGCAGGACTGTCCTCTGCTGCTGCTTTTGACTGTCTAGCTCCCCAGTGAGCTCAGAATAGTCATTTATCTGCTTTGGTTTCTTGAAAATATAGAATCATTGCTTAGAAATATTCAGATCAACTGGTGAAAAGGCATATTTGGTTTGAGTTGGTTTGTGGAGGATTACAGGGAGCCCTTTGTAGAATCTGTTGTGGCGCTGGGAGGTGGGATCTGCTGACAGCCAACAAGCGCACCTCTACTCTCCTTTAAAAGGTTGCAGTCTGTTGCAACAACAGGGTTCAGAGGCTGTGCTGCAGGGCAGAATTGCAAAACAAAAACATCTCCCAGAAATAGCATGAAGTCTTAATACAGTATATAACAAAAAATCAAATAGTACAGCATCTCTGTGCCTGACTCTTCCCTCATGCAGGCGTGGACTAAAGGAATTGGTACAGATGGTGTCTTGTGATATCAAATATTTACAAAGGAAGCAAAGGCAACCTTGTCTTCCTCTGAGCTTCTGAATTTTTCTCCTGCTCAGACAGGAAAGTTACAGTAAGTGTTGGACTTAAAAGGGAGCTATAGTTAAATGTATTTTTGGAGTTGAATGATGGGGGTAAATTCCCATTCCCCTGCTGCAAATTAGGTAGGGATGGATTGGGGCAGGGAGCTGAGAATTAAAGTGTGGTCCTGCTTGTTGTAAGAACGGGGAGAGAGTTGGGGCCAGAGCAAGCTATAACTCAGCTTTTTTTGGGAACGGGGATGGAACTCCTCTGCTTTGTCATTCTGGGAAGGAAGCAAGTCCTTCCCTAATAACATCCTCAAGACTTTCTGTAAAGTTGCAGTTAAATCTATGAATGTAAATGTATCTTCATTCCTTGCAGTGCTGGGCTTGTCCACTGCAGGAGTGGAAACTAGCCACAGCCCAGAGAATCCTACAATGAATACAGCAGCAGAAAGAAATCCATCCTTTTCTTATGCTCTATGTCACACAAAACCATAGAATCATAGAATCGCAAGGTTGGAAACGACCTGCAAGATCATCTTATCAGCTCTGCTCAAAGAGGCCTGAGGTTAGGAGGTGTGAGGCCAGCACCACTGGATGTGCTGTGCTGCTCCCAGAAGATGGCACCTCAGTGGTGTGAATGCAGCAGCCTTCCCCGTGCCCGTATGGCACTGTGCCTTTAGGGGCTGCTTCTGGGAGGTCTGAAGGAGCGTGGTTGCAGCTTTACATTTACCTTTGGACATGAGATACTGGAGCTGTTATGCTTGCAGCTGATGCCATCCAGCTTTTTGTTCTAGAAGACAGTATGTAGGCCTAACAGGGGGACAGCTTCATAACTAGTGATGCCTCTGGCCATCTTGTGCTGGAATTTTATATTCCAAACAATGAGGGAAAGTTTTGTGTTTTCAGATTTTACATGTTTATCTACATGTGTTTGTTTGCATCTCATTTAATCTCATCTCATCTCATAGTTTAATACAACTCATGTCCCATAGAATTGGATGTTTTTCCAAACATCCCCTTATGGGGATGGTACTAGCATTTGATATGTTAGTTCCTGTCACTCATATATAAAAAGTTTTGCATTATTATAAATTGCCCAAACTATCAAAGCATTCTTATTCTGTAAGATGAAAGTTCAGAAGCTTATATTTAAAGATGGAGAGGTGCACAGTGTGGACTCGAATTTGATTAAGCCTTCCTATTGAGTGATTCCAGAGGGAGGTTATTACTGCCTCAGTTTCCCCATTCCTCCAAGGAATTGAATGCCAGAATTCAACCGTTACCAAATTTTAGTCTTTTGTTTATGGTCTATTTATTGTCTGCAAAACAGCAAACTTTTCTTCTTGAATGAGTTTTGCAAGGAAGTTTGAAATATTTGCAACTGAGAAAAGGGGGAAAACCTGCCATACATGTATGTGTGTGCACTTACACACATTATATTTATGTATATTGAATCTATTCATGCATCAGTCCAAAAACAGCCAAAAGTGTTCAAGTACATTAGCACAGATGGGGTGATAATTTTGAATAATATTCTCTGAATAATATTGGAGTTCATTTCATTTAAACTCACTTAAATATATATATATATATTTACATTCATGTTGCCTCTTTGGCCTTGGAGAAAAAAGGTAAGACAACCATTAGAGCTGTCGTAGTGACAG